GGTATTTCCTATTGAATAGAATTTGTTATTTGAATCAATAAATATTTAGATTTCATATCTCTCTTAATTTATACATCAAATTTTCCTCTTCTAATATTATATGAAGAAATTATAAGTAATAATTGAATATAAATATTTTTTGATCGACATATTTTAATGCATAAAAACACTTTTTATAAACCTTGTAAATTATTGAAGCAAAATAAAATTAAATTGTACTCTGTTTATTTATTTCAAAAGTAAGATGTTTAACCATTTAATTAATATTTAATGATTTATTTTTTCTATCAAAATCGAAAATTTTTAAATTAGCTAAATTTACTTCTAATGATCATCTGCCTCCATATGAGTCTAATTAATATTCAAAAAAGGGTCATTTTTTAAACTAATAATATGCAAAAGAGAGATTTTATAAAAATTTTATTCCTATATTATTTTTTTTCAATTAAAAATTGAATGTATTCATATGCAAATGAATTAAGGGTAGAATTCTCTTTAAAAATTTCAAAGATATTCTCTGAAAAGCTTAAACTAAAATATTTTTTAAGATTTTATGATCAATAAATCTAAATATATCATGTGCCTTATTTGATCATAATCTACAATAAAAAATTTATTGTTGATTAGAATGCTACTCTTTAATCAATCTCCATTAAGAATAAAATCAGCTAATCTTTAATATATATATACTTTTTCAAGAGATTTTGATATTTAAAAAATTTTAATTACATATATTTAAAAATTTTAAATACATAATATTATGAATAATAATATTTATGATGAGCAAAAACATTCTGATGATATGGCTTCATAATTAAGTTAAAAGAGCATTCAAACATTTGAATAATATGATAATAAAATTATTATTTAATTACATACTCAACTTACCAAATTAAAAAAGGTTTATGATTTTCAAACTAGATGTATTATATTCCCTTTGGGAAGTGATGATTCAGATTTATAAAACTATACCTTTAATATTTTCAATTAATTTCTGAATCAAAACCTTTCTTTTGTGTGATAACTTTAATAAATAATAAACAGAATTATTTTGCAAAATTGGAGCAAGGAGTTAATCCTTTCTTCGTATTTAGAATTATTAATGATATTTTAATACCAATAAAGAAACATATTGATTATTATTTATAATAAGATGAGAATCTTGATTCTCTTTATTAAGAAACAATGATTTTGATTAATGAGTTAAATTCAATAAAAATAAATTGATTTTTTATCAATAAATATATTAAGTTCGAATTTCAAATAATTAAAAATGAAAACACCTTTTCTGATTTTCAAAGGTTCTATTTTTAAGAACTTTTTGCTAACAACATCAACCATACTTAGTTCTGTAGTTAAGATGGATTACATCTTCGATAATAAATCAAATTTAATAAATTATAAAAAGTCTGTGTTAGAATAAAATTGAATTATCAATTATTTTATTAAGAAAATTCATACAAAATACTTTTAATTAGTTTATATATTAAAGTCAGTTTTTTTGTTGATTACTGCAAACCAAAAATGCTCTTCTTACCTGTCATCAAATAACTATTAATCTCAATTTTGGATGCAGGAAATCAAATTTTTCTTTGCTTTCATCACCTTAAATTAATGCATCGTTAATCGCTCTAAATTTATTAAAAGCAAAAGTGATTTATTACGTAGCTTTTATAATATCAACCAAAAAATTTTCTGTGATATTCCTTTCTAATTGAATATTCATAACAATTATTGATTGCTGAAACATTTTACCGCTATTAGCTAACTTATCCCCATCTAGTTAGTGTTTAATATAAATTGCATAGGCACATTTTTCTTTTTTAGGTCGATTTAAGAATTATTTAAAAGAAGAAAAATTATATATTATCACTAAAATTTTAAGCAAGTATATTGATTAAGGAAAATTTAAATTTCCTTTCTCCTAATTTTAAAAAATTAATTAATTTTTTTCAATATCATTATTAAGATCAGATTCTATTGGATAATACTATTATTTTATTCTTTTTTAATTATCCATATTTTATTGAGTTATATTGTAATTTATAACAATAACATTTTTATAGATATCGATTTATATTTATCATTACTTCCTTGAATATGTGATTTTGCTAAAATATTATTTCTAAAATTTCTTTAATACGTTATTATTTATTTTTTTTCATCTTAATTATTCATCACATCCCATATACCTACTTTTTTCCCATTTAAATAATCCCCGTTATAAGTTATTTGATGACAACTAAAAATATATAAATCTATTATTAAATCCAATACTTATTATAAAAGTCGCTCAATTCAATCCATTATCCTTGTTTTAATTATTGTTCATCATAGCATCCATAACCTCTAATAAATATTAAAAATTGTTAAGTTTATCATTACATTATTTTATTTGAAAATATTTTTTAGATTATCCATCTACCTATCTTTAAATTATTTTTATATTCACCTTTGTGTATTATAAAATTACTAAAATGATTAATTACAATACTTATGAAATTAATCATTCAATTAAATCCATATTCCAGTTTTCATATTTTTTTCATCATATGATCCACCTCCGCTATAAATAAAAAATAATATCTTTCTTTCGAAATACATTAATTAAAATAAAGATTTAGAATTGTTCCTAAATAAAATATCCCATCTTCCAACCTTTTTGCCTTTTAAATATTCACCTTAATTTATAACTTAACATGCCCTTTTAAATTTCAAATGAATTTAATTAATACATTAAAAACTAATTGTTTTTTTCAATCCATTATCCATCTTTCAGATTTTCTTTGTAACAACAATAGATCTCCCATGCACCAATTTTTTAACCATGTTTATACTCACCACTGAATGTTATTTCATTATAACTAATATATTATTTCTCTGAAAAGTACAATGAAAATTTTTTGTTCAATTCAATCCATTTTCCATTTTTCAAATTTTCATCATCAAATGAACCACCGCCACTATAATTTTTAATAATTTATAATAACATCTATTCATTTTTATAATTCCCATACTATTTCTGATAATAGATATCCCAACTACCATACTTTTTAGAATTTTTATATTCACCTTTATACATGACCTAAGAATCACTAAATCTTTAAAAATATTTTTACCTCCAAAATCCATTAAATAACTCTATCCATTTACCATTTTTTATGTTTTGATCTTCATCATATGATCCACCTCCACTAATCAAGTTAGTTCATAATTGTAAATTTGATACATCTATTAATGCCAAGCAAAAATTTCCCATTTACCAATTTTTTTATCATTTAAATATTCACCATAATAAGTGACAGATGAATCACTATAAATGAAAATGATTTAATTAAATTAAAATACTTATTGAATTCATCTTTCAACTCAATCCAAGCTCCAGTTTTGTGATTTTCCTTATCATAGGATCCACCACCACTAATCATGATTAAATTATCTACATTTATTTAAATGGTTTATTCTCATCTAATCTTTATTCAATAATCCATCTGCCAATTTTATTTCCTTAATCATATTAACCTCTATAAATGACTTAGCTATTGCTAATATAAGGAAAATTATTTTATAAGTTACCTAAAAAAACTGTGACTTTCTTCTAACCATTTTCCATCTTTTTAATTTTGCTGACTGTATATACCCCCTCCTCTTTTAATGAAAGAAAATTATTAATAAAGTTACATTAATTCATCTGTTCTTTTCGATTCAAATTTTTAATAAAAAATATCCCATTTACCAACTTTTTTTCCATTTTTATACTGACCTTTATAAATAACTTAGCTTTCACTTTATTATAAAATTATTTTAATTACCTGTAAAATCCTTCACTCAATTCTATCCATAATCCATTTTTCTAATTTTTGACATCATAAACACCTCCCCCACTAATAAATAAAAAACAAACAGTTGATTATATAGTATACATTAATTCATAATGAGAGAACTCATTTGGCTTTTTGTAATAAATATCCCATTACCCACTTTTTTTACCATTTCTTAAGTCTCCAATATATATAACTTAACTTGACCTATTAAAATCAATTATTTAAATTAAAATACAATTAAAAATTTTCACTTAGTTCAATCCATTTTCCATTCTTTATTCCAAATCCATTATAATTACCTCCTCCTCTAATAAGAAGAATAAAAATAATTACATCTAAATATCTTTATATATGTATTCCCATTTCCCAATTTTCATGTCATTTTAATATCTTCCTACTTGATAGCCTTAACTTAAAATTATAATATATTAATTATATCTACTTTCTGCTATTCTTTATTAATTCTACCCATTTATTTTATTTTTTTCCTCTTATGCAGTACAATCCTCCAACATATTGTAAAGATTCTCCTTTCCAAAAGGCATTCCAATTACCAATTTTCTACTCATTTTCTCCAAACCTTCCTTACCATTAAAAATTTTTGACAAACTCTATACTCATTAGACCTTCATTTATTTAATATTTTTATTAATCTTTGTATATAAGGTCAACCTAATCAACTGATTTTCTTAATATTTTTCCATCATCAAAGATAAGCTCTATTTCCTTTCCATAACAGAATATAATTTTGAAATTGCGTATAAAAACTAAACCATTAAAATGATTCACCATTTCACAATACCATTCTTTGAACTTTGAATGTTCAACCTCTTTCTTTATTTATATTCTTTAATAGGATTTATAGGCATTTTACTTCATTTAAAAATAATATTTTCCTAATTCTATTCAATATATGCAGTTAAAATCATGGTCAAAATTAATTAACAAAATAGATTTTTAGAATCGGAAAATAAAGATTAAATTGATATTTTATATTGATAAGAAAGACCCTCCTAATTAACTCAAAGTAGCTAGAAGAATATTATAAAAAAAAAATAAAAATAAAAATTTAATCGTCAGAGAATTCTGGAAAGAAAATGAAGGAAGTGAGACAATGGGTAAAA